GGCTCTAGAGCAGACATTCAATAGTTGTGGCGCACAGGCTTCATTGCTTTGCAGCATCCAGGATCTTCCAAGACCAGGGATTGAACCCATGTCTCCTGCATTGACAGGCAGATTCGCCACCATTGAACCACCGAGGAAGCCCCAAGTTAATATGTTTGAAGACAACCTCCCCTCCTCAAAAATGAATTATCTTTTCACTCGGCCGTGACCAACTCTTTGTGACCCCATGAGCTGTAGCCTGCCAGGCTCTTCTGTCCATGGAGTTCTCCAGGCATGAATACTGGAATGGGTTGCCATTTCCTTTCCCAGGGGATCTTCCCAACCCAGGGATGAAAACCCAGGTCTCCTGCATTGCAGGTGGGCTCTATAACATCTGAGCCACCAGGGGGTGCCTGCTATTATTATAATCTTTTCACATCTCTATGTATGCATACGTTATTCAGAAAATATAGAAAATGGAAACTAATGTATGTTGTGTATCTTTTATGTGCCAAGAATCTTGGAGACTTTAATATATTGAGTTTGGTCCAGCAAACACATTTTGAACACCATCCAAGTGCCAGACACACAGATAGAGATCAAGTCACATTCCTGTTCTTGAGAGTGACATCTGTGCCCACAAATAAATAATTTCTATACAATAAGGGAAATCTTATTACAAAAGAGAGGCTGATTTAGGGTAGAGTTCACAGAGGAAATAAAGCCTGGATTGAACACACTGAAGGATGAAGAAGAGAGCTGATGATGTACAGACTTTTCAGTTTACAATTCAGTGGCATAACTTCCATTGTGTTTCTTGGGCAAATCAACTGATGCTTTGTAGCTGGCAAAGCTTGTCACAAGTATAGACAACATTTTGCCCAGGAAATGTGGAGAAGAGAAGATTGCACTGTACCACCTGTCCACTACAGCGGGGGCTGAGTGGCCATAAACTCTATGTCGTCAAGACTAGAGTTTCTCCAGACTGGCTGTAAAAGTTAATGAGCACCTCCGCGGTGACTCATTTCCTCTCTCCTACTGATACCATTTGTTCCAATATCATGGGATATTACAGGGCTTTCTTGCAGCAGTACTCAGGGTCAACATCTCTGTCAAATATAATAGCACAAAGTCCAAGGTTGTAAAAATTTGATCCTTAGGGGGAAAGGAGGAATTCTGATAGTTTCTTAAAATAATGAGTGGTTTATGCTGTTTTCTTAGGAGGTAGGATTGGAAAGCATTTCAAGACTCACCTTCTTATTATGTGTTAGTCCCTTCAGATTTTTCCAGTTCCCTCTACCAAACTTTCCTTTTCACATTCTCCTAAAGCACCTTAAAAAATTCATCTCTTTCTATGGTCATTCCATTAGGTGTTCCCCACTCCACTGCCCCTGCCTGACTGAGGTTCTTTTTTCATGCCCGTCTACTAGTACTGAAATGTTTAGCTGTCAAAAAGTAATTGACCTTTTCCAAAAAAATCTTCCACCAAGAGTAAAGTATGAAACTGCTCATTAGTTAAAATGGGTATTAAGTGAGTTGCTGTTACACTAGAGCTGAAGACAATTTCTGCTTGACCTCAAAAGATGAAGCAGCAAAAACCTTTACTATCAAACTCAAAATGGAGTTCACTGGTCATTGGAAGAAGATGGCAAAGGGATCACTGCCATTCACCTTTCAAACAGGGAAACTGGAGTCAAAAAACATCCTGCAGGTATGATGAAGATTTCTTACTTAAGTGAAACCTAGGTGTCAGCTTGGCGATCTAATTAAATTTGACTCGTTGGAAAAGACCCTGCTGCTGGGAAAGATTGAGGGCAGGAGGAGAAGGGGGCAACAGAGGATGAGATGGTTGGATGGCATCACAACCCAATGGACATGAATTTGAGCAAATTCTGGGAGATAGTGAAGGGCAGGGAAGCCTGGCGTGCTCTAGTCCGTGGGTTTGCAAAGAGTTGGACATGACTTAGTGGCATGAAAAGCAATAGCTTTTCTCCAAAACTTCTCCCGATTCCTTCACGTTATCAGGACTTACTTCTATGAAGTTGCTCTCTGTTTCCAAGCTTCCTCAAACATAAAAGCAAATTCTTTTCTGTTTCATATCAACCTGCTTTGATAAGAAATCCACCCCCATCTTCTTGGTCTTTCCTGTCCGGTGTCATAGCCATTAACCACATGTTTAAATTTAATTGACAAAAATTAAATAAAGTTAAAAATTTAACTCATTCTCACTAGCCTTATTTCAAGTCCTGGATGTTGCTTTGATAAGAAATCCACCCCCATCTTCTTGGTCTTTCCTGTCCGGTGTCATAGCCATTAACCACATGTTTAAATTTAATTGACAAAAATTAAATAAAGTTAAAAATTCAACTCATTCTCACTAGCCTTATTTCAAGTTCTGGATGGCTGTATGTGGCTAGTGGCTAAAGCATTGATAGCCCAGATTAGGGGATATCCATTATCATAGAAAAATCCTATTGGGCATTTATACTGGTGTGTCTTGACTCGATGAGAACTTGCTGGATATTATGTTTGTAGTTATATGTCAAGAGGTCATATTGCAACTTTCCATCAGAAAATTTGTTTTGATGTAGGTGTTTTTAACCACCCTCCTCTTTTCAGAAATGTATCATCCATTTGGGACTTCCCCGGTGGCCCAGCAGTAAAAATCTGCTAGCAGTGCTGGAGCCACAGGAGGCTTGAGTTCAGTCCCCGGGTTAGGAAGATCCCCTGGAGGAGGGCGTGGCAAGCCACTCCAGTATTCTTGCCTGGAGAATCTCCATGGACAGAGAAACCTGGTGAGTTACAGGCCATAGGGTCTCAAAGTGTCAAACACAACTGAAGTAACTTAGCACACACACACACACACACACCACCCATCTGGGCTTTCCAGGTGGCGCTAGTGGTAAAGAACCCACTTAACAATGCAAGAGACAAAAGAAACGCAATTCCCATCCAACTGCTTAAAGGGGAAGGGGCTTGTGCTTAACAGGTAGTGTAAAAAATAAAATTCATCTGGTAATGTCCTACCACATACCATTAGGAAACTGAGACTGAAAGAGGTTCAGGAGGATGTCTAATGTTACACCGTGAGTAGGAAACAGAATTAGGATTTGAACCAAGATTCTTCAGAAACCAAGCCTTATGCTCTTCCCCCTGAGGGCATCATCAGAGTGCAGCGGTCCTCTAAGGTACACTTTGTAATCACAGAACCATCAGTTTTTCCTGTCCTACCATGAGTTTATACACAGGCTGGAGAAAAAATCCAATAACACAGGCTGAGTAGCCTCATAAAAAAATGCTGAACTGGGAGTAAGAAAGCCTGGTTTCTGATATCAGCTTCAGTCCAACTAGCTGTGAATTGAGCCAGGCGGAGTACTCCTCTGGGCCTCAGTTTCCTCATCAGTAGAGTAAAAGAGTAAGAGTTGATAAGCATGATTGTTCTGTCCAGCCTTAAAGTTATAGTCTGTTGAGGTTGTAGTCTAGTTAAGGTTGAATACTCTCTGAAACCTACAGCATAGTTTAATCCTTTGCTATCTATAAGAGGAGAGGAGAGCTTGTGACCCTTTCCAAATGGGCTATTTAAAAAAAAAAAAAAGCCTGTGATTCAACAAACAGCTAGATTGGTAGAGTCAACGTTCAACTCTACCACTGACTGTGACTTTGAACCTGGAACCAGGCTTCCTAATCTCTCCTTACGCCGAGTTTCTAGGGTGTGAAATGGAGTGATGTCCCACACCACTCCCAGAGATTCCGTTAGGATCTCGCTTGATGACTTAAGTGAAAACACTTTATTGTAAAATATTTTACCACTGCGAGTTATTCTGACATGGCTGCCCTGTGTTAGAACGAAATTTTAGTGACTTGTTCCTCAGGAACAAGGAGGAGCTCCAGGAGGTGGTGGGGGAACCAGGGACACACGGAGGGAGATTCGTACTTTAGAGAGTAAAGTGCTCCCTAAGCAGAGCACAGGGTGCATAACCGATGTCCAGACGCGGTGACAAATCCTTCCAGCAAGGACAGAAACATCATGATTCTCCAGGGTAGAAGCAAGCCATCCTTACAGAAGAAAGGAAAACCACAAGAAACCAACAATGTGAAGAGGCAAAAAGAGAGATAAGAAAAGAAAGGGAAAGGAAGATGGGCTTATAACAGGTATCAATGGAAATAATCAATAAACAATCTATAATAAGAGTAGAAAGAGTCTTATTTGAGCCACAATGAGGGCTAGAGCCCAGGAGACACAGATTCAGGAAGCTCCTGAACTGTATTCTGCTAGATCACAACTGGAGGGAGGTTTATAAAGGCAAAAATTGCAAAATTACGTAAGTTGTTTGTCAAGAATTGTAATAGGAGCTGGCAAGACGTAAGGGTGTTTGTTAAGCAAGGATTGGTTGGGGCACCAAATAGTTGCACAGTTACAAGGGGAGATCTGAGGTCACGAGGTTGCAGTGGCAGCTGCCAGCAGATATTTTGAAAGCAGCTAGTGGTGTCCTTGATTCTGCTACAGTTCAGAAAATTGAAGTTCTTAGGGATACAGGAACATGTCTGAAACCACATTCACAATGACCCCCCACCAGCTCCATTTTGGATGCCTGAACCACAGTTTTTCCATTTTGATTATTAAATGCATTCTTTTCTTTAATGGTTAAGGCAGATGTCCATTTGCAGGTTTAATAGGCCACAAACAGGCTGGATTTTTTTAATTTTCAGAAAAAAAATTTATTAGAGTATAGTTGATTTACAATGTTATGTTTGCTTCAGGTATAACAGCAAAGTGAATTAGTTATACACATACATATACCCACCCTGGGTTGCAAAGATCAGCCAGAGAAGGGAATGACAACCCACTCCAGTATCTTGCTTAGTGAATTCCAAGGACAGAGGAGCCTAGCAGGCTACACAGTCCACGGGGTCACAAAGAGTCAGATACAACTGAACCACTAACACTTTCACTTCTTTCACTCCTTTTTAGATTCTATTCCCATATAGGTCATGACAGAGTATTGAATAGAGTTCCCGTAGAAGATCTTATATGGTAAGACCTTATTAGTTTATTTCACATATAATAGTGTGTCTATGTCAATCCCAGTCTCCCAATTAATCTCTTCCCGCCTTATCCCCTGATATCTGTGTTTGTTTTCTACATCTGTAACTCTATTTCTACAAATAAGCTATTCTAGTTAACATACATTTCAAGTTAAATCATAATATAAGCCAAAATTACTTTCCTATCCTTCAATATGTATAGTTTTCTTCCATCACAAATTACAGGATATTGCTAAGATGGGTTGTAAAGAAAAGACTCTATTTGCAATTAGGGAGAGGTTCTCTTAAATAATTAAAACACAACTTGGATATGTTCTCAATTCATATCTCATACAGTTCACTTTGACTGTAGATAAGACTTTTATGGATGGCTATTATTTGTAAACATCACTGCTGTATGATTAAAGCAAACGTCATATAATTCCTGAGGCAAGAAGATATAAGAACTTCAGAAACTGCCGGGGATCTCTAAGGACACTGAAGAAGGCAAGGGTCCTCAGAGCTTTGAATGCCAACCAGGTAATTAATCCTCCATGCTGTTGAGGGCACAGGGCTTCCTTTGAGTATCTGTTTTTCTTTGCCAGTTTTTAACTGGGCCAGAAAGGACAAGGTATAGTTCAAAACATGTTAATCATGCTTGTGTTGCTGTTTTGTTTAATTTAAATTACTTATTTCCTTTCTTGTCTTATAGAGTGTTGGCTTTGGTCTCAAATAGTGTTGAGTTAAATCCTGGCTCAGCCATCTAGAAGCTGTGAAACTGTAGGATAGATACTTAATCTAATAGTAATCTAGATACTAATACTAATCTAGATACTTAATCTAGATACTAATCTAGATATTAACCTTAATCTAGATAATTAAACTTCAGGGTCTTCATGTGCAAAATAAGCTAATGATATCTGGAAGGCATCCCAGTTATGGTGATTAAACTGGATGATATGGGACCATTCAATAAATGCCGATTTGTTAAGATTCAGTTATAGGTAACAGTAGTGCCCCTGCCTTATCCTGGTGGCACTCTCCGAAGTTTGCTATCCTCAGTCAGCTGGGGTCAGAAAATATTAAATGGTAAAGTCCAAAAATAAAAAAGTCATAAATTATAGATTGTGCTATGCTCTGTTCTGAGCAGCCTGGTGAAATCTAGCGTGATCCTGCTAATTCCCACTCAGGAGGCGGGTCATCCCTTTGTCCAGCGTACTGCTTCCCTCCACCCCCACCCCCCACCCCGATTAGCATAGGAAAAACAGTATATATAGGGTTCTGTAATATCTGTGGTTTCAGGGGGTCTTAGAACGTATTCCCTGCAGATAAGTGGTGAGGACCATATTTAAAAAGATGCTGAACCTCCTTTCCCCAGATTGCTGACCTGAGAGTGAAGTTTTTGCCATTTGTGTCTTGAAGGGGGTACTGGACGGCCAAAATACCTCTATCACTTTGGGAATGGAGGCTGCTCAGAGGAATTAATTGCAGGGTTAATACCATAATTAGAGAGAGAGAGGCCACACACTCTTCACTCTTCTGTTTCCCTCCTTATCAACGCTGTGTCAGAGTGTTCATATGGACCTCATCTTTGGATTTTCTGGGGAAGTTTCCAATTCAAATACTGTTCCACCATTTCCCTTAAGCTATCTATTATTTGAGAGTTAGAATATGTATGCTGATTTGGGGATCATAAAGTATGCTCAAATTAAAATGCAATGAATTACTCATGTTAGTAATGATTTGGGGGAAAAAATCTTTTTCCCAACCCCACGCTTACACTAAAGTAGTTGCCTAATGGATAAAAATAGAATAGAGGTTGATATTTTAATCCTATGTGGATGGCAATGGCCAGTATTTCAAATATAAATTTCAAAAGTTATAAAGGAGATGATAACTAGGACAATTTTTGAAATTTTCAGTAGGCAAAAAAAAATATATTGTAAACAAGAGAAAATACAAACTGGGAAATATTTTTGGTAAGATACAAAAGACAATAAATATACCAAGAAAGCCCTCCAAATTCCTGAGGAGAAAGATAAAATATCCCACAATAAGCTGTGCAAAGCTGTAAACCAAAAATTCATAAAAGAAATTTTAAAAGCTAATCATTATATAAAAAGACATTCAAGTTTATCAGTATTTTTAAAATTTCCAAAAATAAAAAAGTCATAAATTATAGATTGTGCTATGCTCTGTTCTGAGCAGCCTGGTGAAATCTAGCGTGATCCTGCTAATTCCCACTCAGGAGGCGGGTCATCCCTTTGTCCAGCGTACTGCTTCCCTCCACCCCCACCCCCCACCCCGATTAGCATAGGAAAAACAGTATATATAGGGTTCTGTAATATCTGTGGTTTCAGGGGGTCTTAGAACGTATTCCCTGCAGATAAGTGGTGAGGACCATATTTAAAAAGATGCTGAACCTCCTTTCCCCAGATTGCTGACCTGAGAGTGAAGTTTTTGCCATTTGTGTCTTGAAGGGGGTACTGGACGGCCAAAATACCTCTATCACTTTGGGAATGGAGGCTGCTCAGAGGAATTAATTGCAGGGTTAATACCATAATTAGAGAGAGAGAGGCCACACACTCTTCACTCTTCTGTTTCCCTCCTTATCAACGCTGTGTCAGAGTGTTCATATGGACCTCATCTTTGGATTTTCTGGGGAAGTTTCCAATTCAAATACTGTTCCACCATTTCCCTTAAGCCATCTATTATTTGAGAGTTAGAATATGTATGCTGATTTGGGGATCATAAAGTATGCTCAAATTAAAATGCAATGAATTACTCATGTTAGTAATGATTTGGGGGAAAAAATCTTTTTCCCAACCCCACGCTTACACTAAAGTAGTTGCCTAATGGATAAAAATAGAATAGAGGTTGATATTTTAATCTTATGTGGATGGCAATGGCCAGTATTTCAAATATAAATTTCAAAAGTTATAAAGGAGATGATAACTAGGACAATTTTTGAAATTTTCAGTAGGCAAAAAAAAATATATTGTAAACAAGAGAAAATACAAACTGGGAAATATTTTTGGTAAGATACAAAAGACAATAAATATACCAAGAAAGCCCTCCAAATTCCTGAGGAGAAAGATAAAATATCCCACAATAAGCTGTGCAAAGCTGTAAACCAAAAATTCATAAAAGAAATTTTAAAAGCTAATCATTATATAAAAAGACATTCAAGTTTATCAGTATTTTTAAAATGAAGTTTTTCTTTAATATACCAAAATTAGCAAGAAAAAAAATGGACAAATCAGGTGTTCATTAAGGGCTGGGGAAAGCAGCATTCCTGCCCACTAGTGTTAGAATGAACACACCGTGCAGCCCATTCAGAGGGCATTTTTTGACATTTATTTTTTAATTGGATTATAATTGCTTTACAATGTTGTCTTGGCTTTCTGCTGTACAACCACTTGAACTAGCTATAAGTGTGTGTATATCCCCTCCTTCTTGAGCTTCCCTCCTACTCCTCTAGGTTCAGAGGGTATTTTAGCCAAGAATATCAATGTGACACTTCGTGTGTTCTGTGAAATTACAACCCTGTGTATGTGAATTCGGATGTCCCAGGTGGCGCTAGTGGTAAAGAACCCACCTGCTAATGCAGGAGACGTAAGAGACAAGAGTTCGATTCCTGGGTCCAGCAGATCCCCTGGAGGAGGGCATGGCAACCCACTCTGGTATTCTTGCCTAGAAAATCCCATGGAGAGAGAATCCTATAGACAGATTAGCCTAGCAGGCTCCGGTCCATAGGGTTGCAAAGAGTCAGACCCGACTGAAGCAACTTAGCAGGCTCTCACATACGTGAATTTATACTAAAGAGAGAAGCAAAACTTCATAAAAGTTATGTGAGTGGAAAAAGGTTTATTACAATCAATCTGTTTCTGAGAGATAAAACCAGGTTACAGAATTATATGACTATACAAAATTATATAAACAACACATGCCTAGAAAAATGTTAATAAGCTCTTCACTCAGTTGTTTCTCTGAAAGATTACATCGTATTCTCTAGTTTTTCAATGATCTTTTAATAATTTGTGCAATATTTTGTCACAGGAAAAGATAATTTTTTTTTTAAGTGTGATATCGTGCAAACGGAAGCAAGTTGAACTAAAGTCAGGAATTCTTGTTGTAGCTGTGTGACAATGAAAAAATGATTTCATACCTCAGGTTTTCTAAACTGTAAAGTGGAGATATTAGATAGCATATTCAATTTTAATTCTCACATTAAAAAACTCACGGTTGGGATTGACTTGATTGACTTAAACTGCTGCTGCTGCTGCTGCTAGATCGCTTCAGTCGTGTCCGACTCTTATTAAAGCGCAAATACTGCCTCATCTGAAAGAAAGCTTGCTTTGGATGCCCTCTCTTGGCTCTCCTGAGAATGGCAAGGGCGGGCTCTCCAGACTATACCAAATGCTTTCAGACTTGAAACCATTCAGCCCAGCAGAGTTAGATCTTTGGCATTGTTTCAGAGGTCTGGCATAAGATAAATTTTCCTTATCTTTATATTTAGCTTGAGATTCCTATTTATTATTGAAGTATGTTGTTGTTCAGTTGCTCAGTAGTGTCCGACTCTTGGCCACCCCGTGGACTGCAGCATACCAGGCTTCCCTGTCCGTCTCCTGGAGCTTGCTCAATCACAGCTGAGTCTGTGATGCCATCCAACCATCTCGTCTTCTGTCGTCCCCTTTCCCTTTGCCTTCAGTCTTTTCCAGCAGCAGGGTATAGTTGATTTATAATGCTATTAGTTTCTGGTGTACAACAAAGTGATTCAGTTATACATATATACGTATGTTCTTTTTCAAATTCTTTTCCCATTTGGGTTATTACAGAAAAGCGGAGTTATTAGTAGAGCAGAGTTCCCTGTGCTATACAGTAGATGCTTGTTGATTATCTATTTTAAAGATACTCTGTATATATCAATCCCAAACTCTCAATTTACCCTTTCCCCATACCTTGCCCTTTTGGTAACCATAAGTTTCTTTCCTAAGTTTGTGAATCTGTTCCTGTTTTATAAGTTCCTTTGTTTCCTATTTTAGATTCCATGTAAGTGATATCATATGGTATTATTTGTCTCTCTCTTTCTGACTTACTTCACTTAGTATGATAATCTCTAGGTCCATCACATCTTCTTTATCCATTCATCTGTTGATGGACATTTAGGTTGCTTCTATGTCTTGTCTATCGTAAACAGTGCTGAAACAAACATTGGGGTGCATCTATCTTTTCAAATTCCCTTTGTTGTATAATTTGGGTTTAGCCAGAGAGATATTTTTTTCCTTCATTTATGATTTGGGCTTCCTAGGTGGCACAGAGGTAAAGAATCTGTCTGCCAATGCAGGCAATGCAGGAGACACATATTTGATCCCTGGGTTGGCAACATCCCCTGGAGGAGGAAATGGCAGTCCACTCCACTGTTCTTACCTGAAAAACCCCATGGACAATGGAGCCTGGCAGGCTACAGTCCATGGAATCACAAAGAATTGGGCACAACTGAGTGACGGAGAAGAATGCATTTATTAATATGATTTGGCTTTTATAAATTCCTGGGTCCACTTCACTAGTGCAAATGTGTTAAAATTTCAGATCTGGGTGAATCCAGGAGTATCAAGGAAAAACTGATAAGGACTCTGAGATCTGTGCTTCCTGAAGCGCTTCTGTCCCTGGGGGAAGAGGAAGATGGCTCCGAAAAGCATGTGGCTGGTTTTTCTGATGAGCTGTGTAGCCAGCACTCAAGTCCTGGATGGTGAGTATCAGTCACTAAGCTGGAATTGAGCCCACAGTCAATGTTCTTTGTATGGTTGTGAGCCGTAGTGAAACCATCATCAATCAAATGTAGATTATAATAATTATTTTGCAAGTTTATTGTGAAGGGTGGAGATAATGTATTTAAAGTACCTGTCACCTGGCAGTCAAGAAATGATAACTATAGTTAGAACTACCCAATGCTTTGTGCACTGTTTTCCTACTTGAATATATTGGGGAATTCCAGTTTGCAAAGAACATACAGACTAGTTGGAGAGATGGCTTCAACACACCTATAGGCCCAGCATCAAGTATAAAGTCACATGTTAGGATTTCCCTTGTGATCTAGTGGCTAAGACTCTGCCCTCCTAAGGCAGGCGGCTGGATTCAATCCCTGGTCAGGGAACTAAGATCCCACATACTGCAACTAAGACCTGGCACACACAAATAAATAAATAAACAAAAATGGGGCTTCCCTGATAGCTTGGTTGGTAAAGAATCCACCTGCAATGCAGGATACCCCAGTTCAATTCTTGGGTTGGGAAGATCTGCTGGAGAAGGGATAGGTTACCCACTCCAGTATTCTTGGGATTCCTGTGTGGCTCAGCTGGTAAAGAATCTGCCTGCAATACGAGAAACCTGGGTTCAATCCCTAGGGAGCATCAAGTATAAAGTCATATGTCAGGACTTCCCTGCTGGTCCAATGGCTAAGACTGCATTCCCAGTGCAGGCGGCTGGCTTCAATCCCTGGTCAGGGAACTAAGATCCCACATGCTGCAACTAAGACCAGGCACAGACAAATAAATAAATAAATAAATAAACAAAAATAAAATATTTTAGAAATAAAATATCGAAGTAACACATCTGTGAGGTAGTAAGCAATACCCTAGAATCTACCAGTGGAGAAAGCAGGGGAAGAAAGCTGCATATATGGGCTAAGAATAAGTATCCTGGCTGCTTTGATAATCTGCAGAGGCCCTGATGGTGTCGTGTGTGGTACGGGGAGTGAAGAAACTTGCCTGAGCATTTCTTTTGAGAAAAGGCGTCTTGAGAGGGTCCAGGGCTGCACATGACCCAGCACTTCTGCCAGCAGGGATGCCTAGGCCCGGGGAGAGAGCGACTGGAAGGAGATACAAAGAGAAGCAGGGTTCTTGGGGCCTCATGTTGGCGCTCGTGGCTGAAGTCTGTGGGTCCAGCCACCAGCTCTCTTGACCACCTACGGCCATTCAGGACCTGGGGAACTCAACCACTTTCTCTGGAACGTGCTAGCGTGTGAAAGACTGGGAGAGGCTGCCCTCAAGCTCCCCCAGCGGGCCACACTCCATGGCCATTTCTAATCAACAGCCTGGGTAGTTAGTACCTTGCTGCTCTGGTCCTGGCTTCCCTGAGGGGGCTTGAAATTTGCCCGAACTGTGCCGTGGAGAGTGAGCTGTCCAAGAAGCAGGAATGGGGGGAGGAGAGACAGTGAGGGAGTTGGGGATGGACATGTACACTGCTATACTGAAAATGGATTCACAACAAGGACCTACTATACAGCACAGGGAACTCTGTGTCGGCCTGGATGAGAGGGGAGTTTGGGGGAGAATGGATACACATATATGCATACACACACACACACACACACACACATGTATATATATAGCTGAATCCTTTTACTGTTCACCTGAAACATCCTAACTAGTTACTATTTTCAAAACATATTACATGGGTTATAATGATAATGTGATTATTTTGATAGCTACAATTTATTAAGTAGTTACTATTTTTTGACAATTACTAGATACTCAGTGCTACTCATTGTACATGCATTATCCCACTTAATCCTCCCAAACCATCCTATGATTCAGTGTATAAACAAGAAAACCCAAACTAAAAGAGTTTAAATAATTTTCCCAAGGCCACACTTCTAGTAAGTGGTGGAGTAAAAAGACTATTAGTTGTCCAGGTGGGATGTTAAGAGCCAAAACCTCCTGACACTGTATGTGTATGGATGAGAGGGTCTAGGACCGTGAGTGGTGGGATCAAGGTTCTAGGGCTTCTGGGCACTGGCTCCTCTCCCAGGCCCTTCCTCTTTCCCCATGAGTGTCTTCAGTAGGTTACTTCACCCCTGAAAAGGTTTTCTTATCTGTCCAGTGGGGACATACATCCTTATTACTTAGGATAGCTCCGGTAATTAAACAAGACAATCTGAGTGAATGTACTTAGCCCGTAGGGGTTTTTTTAAAACAAATAAATTGAGCCTAGTGACTACAATGGTGCAAACTTGGTGGCTCAGATGGTAAAGAATCTGCCCGCAATACAAGAGACCCGGGTTCAATCCCTGGGTCAGGAAGATTCCCTGGAGAAAGGAACAGCAACCCACTCCAGTATTCTTGCCTGGAGAATCCCATGGACAGAGGAGCCTGGTGGGCCACAGTCCATGGGATTGCAAAGGGCCGGACATGACTGAGGGACTAACAGTTTCACTTTCAATGACTGTAATGCCCGAGAGCTTCTATTTAGAGTCAGACCATCTTGGGTGGTCAAATCCTGTCTCTATCACTTATTTGCTGCAGGACTCCAGGACATGACCACTCTCTGCCTTTGTCTTCTTCTCTGGAACTGAGGATAATGATGGTCTACTTCACAGGGTTATGATGGGAGTGGCTCGAATGCCGGGAACAGCTCCCGGTACATAGTAAATGTTCCATGACGTGTGAGGTGGGAGAAGGCAGAGCGGCAGCCCCAGCAGAGCAGCACAGTTTGCCCCTCCAGGAGCTCACGAGTCTCCGCCAGGGAGCCGTGGGCATGGCTGTAGTATCGTGAGGTGAGTGGTGAGGTGAGGGAGGAGGAAGGAGAGGAACGAACGAGGCAGAGAGACAGTCATAGACACACAGAGACTCAACAAGGCACAGAGACCCACAGAAAGTTAGTGAGAGGCAGAGACGCCAGGGTGAGTGGAAAGACAGCCAGAGAGAAAAAGAGAAATACATGGAAAGAAATACGTGTCTTTCTGAAAAGACACAGAGAGGCACAGAGGGAGCCGAACAGAGAGACGTGGACAGAAAAACAGAAGGACACTCAAAAACAGACACGGGGCAGGGAAAAAGAGAGAGAGTGCTGGTGGTCCGGCTTTAAGCATGATCCAAGGTTTGCTTTGCCCTGACCCCCTCTCGGTCCTCCAGTGTGCCCCTGGGAGCTCTGCTCTCGCTACCTGGATTCAGGACAAAATTAAGTGCCTGGTGATGGAGAATCTGTGCTAACACATTTGCCCACAGGATGCCCAACAGGGTCACTTCAGAGTTCGAAAGAGAAATCAGAGAGAACTGAACTAGGAGCACCCGGTGTGAAGCAAGGGGCCCTTATCCTCAGACTGGAGTCAGAGACTTGGACTCTTTCCTTCCACCTCTTTCAGAATCTTTTCGCCAGTGTTCGATTGAAAAGCATGCTTTGTAATCTCTCTCCAGATAGTTCCTTACCGAAATTCAAGCCTTTTCATTTGGGGTGGTAATCAGTGGTCAGCCTTATCCTTAAGATCAATTTTTACTCTGAGTCAAGGATGTCTTTTACTTTCTTTCTCCCTGATAAAATAAGCAAGTCAAAAAATAAAAATAAAATAACCAAGTCATCTCAACCCTCTAATGATTTTCATTGCCATATTTCCAATTTTTTGGTTTTTTTATAAAAGCCAAGGTTGAGAGGTTTGGTGGCAGGAACACAGATTCATTAGTTAGAGAACTGAATCTGAAAAGTGGCTTTTCCACCTCCCTGTGTGATCTTAGATGGGTGACCACCAGGCCTGTTTCCTCACCTCCGTAAGATACATATGCAGTACAAATAAACCCCTTTGCATAGTGCCTGGTGGCAAGAAAGCACTCTGCAGTGGAAGCTGGTGATAATGCAACAGAAGTAGCAACAGTGGCATAAAGGTGTTCTTTTTATTTAACATCAAATGCTGATGCTCCTATTCCTAAAGTACGTAGTACAAGGTAAGATATTTAAGCATATGAGCTTCTATGTTGCTTGTTCCTGATACATTTGAGGTACCCCTTTGTTACCCAATTTGATTGCTTGTTGCTTTGAAAGGAAAGGTGCTTGACTCAGAAAAGCTGGAAATCTAGGGAGAAGGTGAACTTGTGTCCAGAGACCAACTCCAAAGATTCTGCTCAGCCTTGATGATTTTTAAAGGGGAGAAAGAGAGAAGAATCTTAATGAATTATTGATGCAGGAAATTGTATTCTGCATTATTTCCCACTGTGTGCAGACTGGTTGACTAATCCAATGTCATCATGCCTGCATGATCTGCCTGCAGGATTGAGAAGGGAACTATTAAGGATAGAGCCTCTTGATGACTGTGAAAGAGGAGAGTGAAAAAAACTGGCTTAAAACTCAACATTGAAAAAAACTAAGATCATGGCATCCAGTCCCATCGCTTCATGACAAATAGATGCGGAAAAAGTGGAAACAGTGGCAGATTTTATTTTCTTGGGCTCCAAAATCACTGCAGATGGTGACTGTAGCCATGAAATTAAAATATTCTTGCTCCTTAGAAGAAAAGCTAAGAAAACCTAGATAGCGTATGAAAAAGCAGGTACATCAATTTGTCGACAAAGGTCTATATGGTCTAAGCTATGGTTTTTCCAGTAATCACATATGAATTGAAGGTTGGACCATAAAGAAGGCTAAGCACTGAAGAACTCATGCTTTCGAACTGTGGTGCTTGAGAAGACTCTAGAGTCTCTTGGGCTGCAAGGAGATCAAACCAGTTAATCTTAAAGGAAATCAACCCTGAATACTAATTGAAATGACTGGTGCTGAAGCTGAAGCTCCAATACTTTTCATCTTCATTTGAAAAGACCCTGATGCTGGGAAAGATTGAAAGCAAGAGGAGAAGGGGACAACAGAGGATGAGATGGTTGGATGGCATCAGCGATTTCGATGGACATAAGTATGAGCAAGCTCCAGGAGATGGTGAAGGACAGGGAAGCCTGGCATGGTGCAGTCCATGGGGTCACAAAGAGTCAGACATGAGTTAGTGACTAAAAACAATAGAAACATTGCTAGCTTCATTAAAGGTATCTATTGATCAGCAGTATGTTTTATAGAAAAAGCAAGGGAATTCCAAAAAATTAATTACTTCTGTTTCATTAACTATGCTAAAGCCTTTGACTGTGTGGATCACAGCAAACTGTGAAATATTTTTAATGAGATGGGAATGCCAGACCACATCACCTGCCTCTTGAAAAACCTGTATGCAGGACAAGAAGCAACAATTAGAAATGGACATGAAACAATGGACTGGTTCCAAATTAGGAAAGGGGTATGTCAAGGCTGTGTATTGTCACCCTGCTTATTTAGTTTATATGCAAAGTATATCATGAAAAATGCTGGGCTGGATGAATCACAAACTGGAATCAAGATTGCTGGGTGAAATAACAACCACCTGCAGAAGATACTACTTTAATGGCAGAAAATGAAGAGGAACTAAAGAGTCTGTCAATGAAGTAGAAGAAGAGAGTGAAAAAAGCTGGCTTAAAACTCAACATTTAAAAANAAAAAAAGAATCTGCCTGCAATGCAGGATACAGGGGTTTGATCCCTGGATTGGGAAGATCCCCTGGATCAGGGAATGGCAACCCACCCCCAGTATTTTTGCTTGGAGAATCCCATGGACAGAGGAGCCTGGCAGACTTCAGTCGATGGTGTCTCAAAGAGTTGGACATGACTGAGGGGCTAACACATGCAATGAAGTGGAACAGAAGCATCAGGCAAGCAAGTGACGGCTGTGTCATCTGCCTGAGGAGAGAGGAGATGCTATGTAACCACAACAGTCTGTGGACATGCACTGGGGGTGGAAAGACTCCTGCACCCATCTACAGCATTACCACGTGGCCACACTGGCACAAAGTCCAAACTTACTGGCTCAGCATCCCATTCATTATCTGGGTCCTCTGCATTTCCAGCAGTTTCAGTGACATGGCCCATTCATCAGTCCACTAGCTGAAAGAGTTTGTGCTTCTCTCTGAGTCATGGTTTCCCTGGCTTCTGGGCCCTGGCTCTCTCCTTCTGTTTTCTATAGTGGTTGCCTGACAGATCCTCTACACGTAAGGCAAACCTAAGTGCTTGCATCTTCCTGCTGCCGTTTCTCTGCTCACCCACCCCCTTAGCCTAAAATGTTCCCCTCCCCTTGCTACTGACTTACAGCCCCCCATTTTCAAGTCCTGCCAAGTAGCCATCTAACCGGTCATACATTCCCCTAGATAAAAAAAAGGAAAAACCCATTTGTCCCCTATGATGCCTAAAACTACCAGCTTATGCCCCTCATCCACTCTTGTGATCTCTTGAATTACATCTGTTTGATCTTGCTACCAGCGTGGGGATTCTGCCAGTTGCTGAGGATGTTTATTCCAATTACATAATCCTTTAGTGAGGAGATTAGCACAGGGATGGGCTTGGGGGACCACTGGGTCCATGGAAAATAGTCCTGAGATAAAACATCATTGATCGCTCGACCTCTATAAACCCCTACTTGACTGGCAGACCTCAGTGATGTTTGGGGTCTCCTGGAATCGGTATCAGTTCAGAGCCAGTGTCCAGTAGCCTCAAAGATCTGATTATCTCCTTTTCCCCAATGCTGAAGTACTCTGGTAAGAGACCACCGCCCCCTCCGGAGATGCCAGGAGAAAGGTGAACAGTATGAAGATGTGGCAGCAGAGAGTGATCCTGCCTCCAGGACGCTCAGCCTCTCCTCCTTCAAGGGGACCTAGGTCTTAAACTGGCTAAGGTGTTGACTTGCTTTTTCTTTCCTTTGTAACTTGTATTTGCCTTTTGTTTGTGCGCAGCCATTATCCTGAGACCTAGCTGTCCTACCGGGTGGTTTTACCACAGTTCATATTGCTATGGTTACTTCCGGAAGCTGAGGAACTGGTCTGAGGCTGAGGTAAGAAATCTGGCTCATGCTCAGAGAGGTGTCTCTAGAGGAAGGAAACACCCAAAGCTCCAGGTATCATTCAACTCAGAGCCAAGGGTCCTTCCCTGGTGTTCTGAGAAGTCACCTGGCAGGTGAAGTGGAGAGAAGAGAAGAGGGTTACCCCTTCAGCCCCTTTAATGTTGTAAGCATCGGTGGAGCACATAGAGGGGGAAAGGTGGAAAGTGACATATTTCCTCTCTGGGGCTCTGAAATCACTGCAGTGGTGACTGCAGCCATGAAATCAGAAGACATTTGCTTCTCAGCAGGAAAACTATGACAAACTTAGACAGTGCGTTGAAAAGCAGAGACATTACTCTGCCAATAAAGGTCCATATAATCAAGGCTATGTTCTTCCCAGTGGTCATGTACAGTTGTGGTTGTCAGAGTTGGACCATAAAGAAGGTGGAGCACTGAAGAATTGATGCCTTCGACCTGTGATGCTGGAGAAGACTCCTGAGAGTCCCCTGGACAGCAAAGAGATCAAATCAGTCAATCTTAAGGGAAATCANCCTTGGACTGCAAGGCTATAAGACCAGTCCATCCTAAAGGAAATCAGCCCTGAGTACTCATTGGAAAGACTGATGCTGAAGCTGAAACTCCAGTATTTTGGTCATCTGATGCTAACAGCTGACTCATTGAAAAAGTGCTTGATGCTGGGAAAGATTGAAGTCAGGAGGAGAAGAGGGCATCAGAGGATGAAATGGCTAGATGGCATCACTGATGCAGTGGACATGAACTTGGAAAAACTTTGGGAGATGGTGAGGGACAGGGAGGCCTGGCGTGCTGCAGTCCATGGGGTCACAAAGAATTGGACATGACTGGGCAACTGACCAACAACAAATCAATGGAGCGTGTGCTACAGGCCCAGATCCTGGGGGGGCTGCAAAGCTATGAGAATGAACCAGAGACAGCCTTCCCTCCAGGAGTCCATTATCAGGGAGAAAGACAGATGCACATTAAGCCAAAGAGGATGAGATGAGGAACTTAGAGAAAGAACAACTTGAATTGCTGTACAAGATTTACCAGCCTCAGAGCCACCTGACAGAGAGTGAAGCATTCTGAACACATGGAAGGCCTTAGTGTCCCCATAACTCAACAAATGCATTGGTTTTATTTCACTGAGGTTTTCCTAAAAGATACCCATGTAGCCAGTCAGAGTAAGTTACCTCGGAATATGAGGAGTCAGGGCTGCTATATCTCTGAATTGTGGTAGTTTTACTGGAGTGACCAACTGGGGAGACCAGTGGGGATGTGGGGTACAATCTGGGCCCACAATGGCCTCAAACATTTGTATTGCCTTTCCCCGGAGAGCCCAGCGCTGATTCTACCAAAACAAAGAGGAAGATATCCGGGGAGCTTTGGAATAATACGTTTGCTCAGTCACTTCAGAAATGTCTGACTCCTTGCAACCCCATGGACTGTAACTGGCAGGCTCCTCTGTCCGTGGGATTCTCCAGGCAAGAATACTGGAGTGTGTTGCCATGCCCTTCTCCAGGGTGTCTTCCCAGCCCGGGGATTGAACCTGTGTCTCCTGTGTCTCCTGCATTGCAGGCAGATTCTTTACCCACTGAGCCACCGGGGAAGCTCACCTGTGAAGTCCAAGTCTATACTGGAATAAAATAGGTGTGCATTTAAATCACGTTTTGCCAGGCATTAGTTAGAGCTATGCCTCACTTTACCAGCTTTCTTCTGTAACATGGGGACAATACTTTCATCCCATGGGGTTGTTGGGGTTGTTGCAAAAAACCTCTGGCACATGGTAGATGCTCAATTCAGATTTTCAAGGCAAAAATAATCCATAAGATTGCTACCGAGCCTTAGCAGAGTTAACCACTCCTGAACCAGAGTGCAGAGAAGGTGTCGGGAAGGACTGGAGAAATTGACCTCACAGCGCTGTGCTTCTTGATTCCCAGCTGCTATCTTAGTTCACAAAACTCCTGGAGGCAATGGGGCTGGCATGAAAACGACAGGTAAGCCCAATCTCAGACTGAAGAAGCAGAGCTCTGGGTTCTAGCCATGTGAATTTACAGGGAAAATATCACCTAAACCGACTGAGCCTGTTTGCTCTTCTGTCCCAGGAATCTTTGTGATTGGTACACTCCCTAAACGTGGACTGGTAATCCAGCTTCCACACCTCACAAATTTGAAAGGTAAATGAAATTATGGATGTAAAAACATTTGGGTTTTGTAAAGTCACTTTAGTCGTGTCCACCTCTTTGCGACCCTATGGGCTGTAGCCCACCAGGCTCCTCGGTCCATGGGATTCTCCAGGCAAGAATACTAGAGTGAGTTGCCATGCCCTCCTCCAGGACAAGATTATCATCAAACAGTAACCACATCTAATACTGAGCAAGTTCAAAGGCAAGCATTAGGGTAGCAACCACAGTCAAACCATGCTTTTATTAAATTAAGTTTTATCATGTAGGCAGATCCTATAACAAAGCCCAGGAGAGCTTACAGTATATATCTCTGTCTGTCTGTAAAGTGTGTGCATATACAATGATTTTTTCAATTGGGCGGTAAGTTTCTAGTTAGAGAATGGCACATTTTACGATCAGTGGACTCCGATTTGTTGAGGTGTATTACTATAATGCATCATTATGGCAGTCCCATGCTCGTAACTACTCCCTTGTGTAGCCATAATTATGTCTTGCATTTTACAGACGAGGAAGAGAGGTACAGAGACTTGTCAGGGTCACAGACACAAATGAGGGGCAAGTCCAGGACCCCAGGCACTTCCACTGGCCCTAAAGCGCGTGACCCAGCCTCGAGGAGGCCTGACAGCTGTGTGTTATGCTTTCTCCCATGATGACAGGAAGTCTTCTGTGGGGTTTAGATCCTCAGAGGAGGTGGGGGCTGTGTGTGTGCATGCTGCTTGGTGAGCTAGGGTTCTGAGATGAAGGCTGTGCTTTTCTTTTTTTTCTTTTTCCTAATTTTTCTTGAAATACAGTCAATTTACAATATCCTATTAGTTTCAGGTGTACAAGTGATTCAGTTATACATATACCTCTACCAATATATTCTTCTTTAGATTCTTTTCCCTTATAGGTCTTTACAAGGTATTGAGTAGAATCCCTTGTGCCATACAGTAGATCCTTGTTTACCTGTTTCATATATTGTAGTATGTATATTTTAACCCCAACCTTCTAATTTACCCCTCCCCCTCTGACTGCTTTGGTAAGCAGAAGTTTGTTTTTTATGACTGTGAGTCTGTTTCTGTTTTGTAAATAAGTTCATTTGCATCATTTTTTAGATTCCACGTATAAGTGATATCATATGGTATTTGTCTTTGTCTGACTTACTATAATTAGTATGATAGTCTCTAGGTCCTTCCATGTTGCCACAAATGTTATTATTTCATTCTTTTTTGTGGCCGAATAATAGTCCATTATTACTCAGCCCATAATGGACTATTACTCAGCCATCAAAGAAATATACCATATCATCTTCATCCATTTGTCCGTAGATGGACATTTAGGTTGTGGGCCATGTTTTTAAACCTCATATCTCCTCCTTGCCCTCAGCTCGAGTGTCAGTCATATGGAAACGGAGCCCACTTGGCATCTGTCCTGAGTTTGAAGGAAGCCAGCACCATAGCAAAGTACATAGGTGCCTATCAAAGAAACAAGCCGGTGTGGATTGGCCTGCATGACCCGCAGAAGGTAACCTCAGACCTGGCCCACTGATGGCCTCTTGGGAGAAGCAGATAGACAGCGCCTGTCTGGGAAATGGCCCCAGGCCCACTGACAAGGGCACACACAACAGATCTTCAGTCACCTGCCTCCAGCTGATAGAGGCCAAGGCTTCCAGGTTAGGGACAAAGCCATGTCCTCCGCTTACAGACCTATCCATTTAGAGCCCTCTCAAGTCTTTTTAAACACAAAATTACCAGCTCCTCAGAGCCTTTCAAAAAAAAGTTTCTGTAAGTATATAGGGGCATGTACATATGCAAATAAACATAGACACACACAGAGAGCCTCATTATGAGATCCTGCTTAATTAAATTCCAGTTAGATCTTGAGTTAAAGTGGATTCAGTTAAGCTTTTCACTAGATGCCATCATGTGTTTTATGCCATCCTTAACTTTCTTCACTGGCCTTTCATTTTACCCCTCTCAGTACCTCTTTGTAAGAAATGACATGTGAGGTTGCTGAAGTCTCTGTGTGGGACCTGCAATTTATAGATTCTTTGTGGGGCTTCTATGTTAACCAAAAAACACAAAGAATACAAGCAGAAAAATCCTAGACTTTGTGTTTCTTAATAAACTTTGCCATAGATGTTACAAATAATTTATACAGTTAATTTTACATTGTTAGTATTCACACTACTATCAACCAGAGCCCTCTCATTCAAAGATAGGATAAGTATTTATATCTATTTCTATCTGATTTTTAAATTTTTATTTATCTTTTTAATTGAAGGAATTTCTACCAGGTTTTTTAAATTTAATTTTTTACCTTCATGACTGAGGCTAATAAACAGCCTAATGAATTGTGCAATGAATGTATCAAAGAAATACAAATTAGAATAACAATATAATTTGACTCAGATTATTAGATGTTTGCTTTGTCTTAATGAATAATATTTTTAAGATAAGGGGAAATTTCTCAGTAAATGACGGTATAAATTCCTGCAACTGAACTGTTTTTGAAAAGCAGTTTGGAAATGCATTTTAATATCCTTAAAATATTCATGCCCCTTGGTCATTAATTTTACTTCTGGGATTCTAGTTTTAAAAAATAATTTTAAGTACAGAAACAGCTTTACAAATAAAATTGTTCATAGCGGTATTCTTTGCAATAATTGTAAATTGGAAACAACATAAACATCAATCAATAGGAGAATCAGTAAGGTAAATTGCGGTACATTCTTACCATTAAAAAAATGTTTGGAAAGCAAAATACTACAAAATTGAATATATATGTTTTAAAGGCTACCACATTTTTCAGTACATAAAAATATTGTGATAGATAAAAATGGTTACACCACAAGTAAATATGGTAAAATATTAGTAATGTTGTCTTCCTTAAGGTTAAATGGAGTGACTTTTCTATGTTCCCTTCACACATTTCTGTGCCTTCCCAAGTTTTACAGTGAAAGCTGTGTTTAAGGGGGCTGCGGTGACCATCTGGGCTGTGAGCAGGTGGGCAGGCTGATGTGTACGTGTCTCCCATCTCCTGTCATTGCAGAAGCATCAGTGGCAGTGGGTCGATGGAGCCGTGTATATTTTCAGATCCTTGTCTGGCAAGTCCGTGGGTGAGAACAAGTACTGTGCTGCGATGAATGCCAAGAGCAGTAAGTTCTACCACATCTCTTCCTGAATCCCAGCTCCTTCTCTTTCCTGTTAAGAGCGAAGCTGGACTTTGACTCCTCTCTGCACCATTTCACACCAACAGCTCTATAGGACAGTGGCCTTGTCCCAGACTTTGCTCACTGACCATTTGTGACCATGTCACAATCTTTGCCATATCAGTGTACCAGCCATTCAGTTATCAATATTTTCTTTTGCTCCAATCACTTTTTTCTTTTTTTTATTTTTCAATAACTCATTTTAACTGAAATATAGTTGATTAACCATGTTGCATTAATTACTGCTATATAGCAAATGATTACATTCACTTTTTTTATGTTCACTTTTTAATGATTTTTTATCATAGTAAAAGTCACATAATATAAAACACACTATTTTAACCATGTTTAACTGTATAGCTCAGTAGCACTAAGGACATATACACTGCTGTGCAACTCTCACCATTCTCCATCTCCCAAATTTTTCACCTCTTTAAACTGAACTCTGTCCCCATTAAACACTAAATCCCCCTTCCCTCTCCCCACATCCCTCTCCCCACCCCCATCCCTGGCATCTACAATGGCCTTTCTGACTCTGTGAGTCTGACTATTCTAGGTGTCTCATATAAGTGGAATCAAATAGTATTCATCTGCACCTACTGTATATTGGAATGCATTTTTAAGATTAACTTAATATATGGCCCATGAGCAGATTGAACCCTCTTTTTCCCACTGAGCTACACAGTAGGTTCCCGTTAGTTATCTATTTTATGCATAGTAGTATATATGTGTCAGTCCCCATCTCCCAGCCCATCCCCTCCCCTTTCCCCCTCTAGGTGTCCATACATTTGTTCTCTACATCTGTGTCTCTGTTTATCTTAAAATTCTGTCCTATACCATGAGGGGGAAATACGTCACATTTGGGGAAATCCAGACAACAGGGAGCAAGTATGTGTGACTGCTTTCGGGCTTCTTTACAGTCAGAGTTCCCCACGAGCCCTAGAAACCTCACTTTGCCTGCATTCTTCCCTCATATTCTCTGAGTTTCATCCCAGAAAATAGTGCCCAGAACCTCGGCTGCAGGCTGGGCACTATCACTGCAGCCTCTTCAGTTCTCTTGCCTGCCTTCAAGCTTTGCTTTTCATGCTAATATGTTAGGGTTTTCAGCCTTGCTACAAAGCCATTTGGGGTGGATAATGCTTTGTTGTGGGAGCTGCCCTGTGCATTGTAGGGTTAGCATTCCCTAGTCACTAACTGACAGATATCAGCAGCATACACACACACACACACACAGTTTGTAACAACCAGAAATGTCTGCTGACTTTGCTAAATGTCCCCTGAAAGTGTTAGTTGCTCAGTCCTGTCCAACTCTTTGCAACCCCATAAACTGTAGCCTGACAGACTCCTCTGTCCTTGGAATTTGCCAGACAAGAGTACTGGAGTGGGTAGCCATTCCCTTCTCCAGGGGATCTTCCTGACCCAGGGATCGAACCTACATCTCCTGCATTGGCAGGCAGATTCTTTACCGTCTGAGCCACCAGGAAAGCCCTAAATGTCCCCCGGGGGGACAAAATCACTCCTATAGGAGAACCACGGCTAATAAGTGACATGAAAAGGAAACAGAATGTCAAAGATGCAAAAGATGCTTGATCTGAAAGAGAACATCCCAGTGTGTTTAAAAGGCCTTCGTAGCATCACCAGGATTCCCCCACTAGCCAGGGTGTGAGCCTGGGCAGGGCCAAGACTGAGAACTCAGGTACTGGAGCTCAGGTGGAAAGGGACGTGGAACAGGTTTACTATTATCTGAAGAATAAAAGTTATATGCACACAAGAATGAGAAAACTTTCTGACAGCAAAGTGATGGACACGTGGAGACAAACTCTGAGGTGAGCTCTAAGCAAACCTTCGGAGGTAAGTGGGTCATATCACAGACCAAGGAAGGATTTCCCACAGTCTGGAAGGGATTAAAGCTGCTGTTTAAGGAATAAGTCATCTCTGATGGAAGGAATACACCAAGACCAATATGCAGAAGCTACCAAAATGTATATTTCTATCCAAGCTAAGGAAAATATTCTGAACAATCAGCACTGTGTAAAATTATAATGAGCTACCCTAGAAAGTAGTAAGAAACCTATCAGTAGAGTTAACCAAGCAAAGGTGGACATTATGGTTGTTACTGGGGCTTCCCTGGTGGTTTAATGGTAAAGGACCTGCCTGCCAATGCAGGAGACATGGGTTCGATCCCTGGGTTGGGAAAAATCCCTAAGAGGAGGAAATGGCAACCCACTCCAGTATTCTTGCCTGGGAAATCCCATGGACAGAAGGAGCCTGGCAAGCTAAGTCGGCCACGACTTAGCAACTGAGCACACATGCATGTGGTTGTTATTGCAGCTGCAGCATTAAAAAAGAGAAAGACAAATACTGCATACTAATGCATATACGTGAACTCTAGAAAGATGTACTGATGATTCTATGTGCAGGGTGGCAAAGGAGACACAGACACAAAGAATAGACTTTGGGACTCAGTGGGAGAAGGAGAGGGTGTGATGATTTGAGAGACTAGCATTGAACCAACCATGTGCATTACCAAATGTAAAATAGATAAACAGTGCGGGTATGATGCATGAAGCAAGGCGCTCAAAACCAGTGCTCTGGGACAACCTAGAAGGATAGGGTGTGGAGATATGTGGAAGAAGGATTCAGGATGGGGGTGCTGCGTGTATGCCTATGGCTGGTTCATATTGATATATAGCGGAAACCATCACCATTTTATAAAGTAATTATCCTCCAATTAAAATAAATAAATTAAAATTTTAAAAAAGCATTAAAAGAGGCTCAGTGGCACATGAGAGTCAGCTCAGGAACATTTTAAAAATATGAATTTCAGGGATCGCTTCAGACTGACAACATCAGAATCGCTAGGGCTGGGTATCAGACCAAGCTCCAGGGGAGCACTGAACCAGTGGCCTTCCAAGGTCCCTCTCGTGATTCTAAGGTTTCAATTGGATAGAGTTCTCAAAGAAAAATCCTCACACTGTCAGTCTGTGTCCACATCAGCAAAGTTCCCAACAATGAAGTATCCTGTGTGGGAACCAGAAGCCAGTCGTCCACCTGAGAACACCAGGCCACAGGACACTTCTCCGCCCATTTACTCAGCCTAGCTTTCCACTCTCAGGATACAGGCTCTCGAGGCAGAAAAGCTCAAGGAAGGAAGCAAGGATTAGAAACTGGTGAAGGTAGAATTTAAAAGAGTACTGCCTTCAGCCCTGTCAATGTCACTTTATGTTTATATAACAGATTTAGCTTCACCAACTCAGGGGCTGTACAGTTTGTTTAAGACTCATAAGGTATAATATATGTGTCCCCAATGATAGCCACACATATTCCGTGTGTGTGTTTCTCTGTGACTGGACTTGTTCCTTTTTTCTATCTATTTAGAAAGACCAGAACCCTTTGGAAAATTGTATTTCACAGTGCTTCCTGAGTTACCTACTGGTTCACCATGAGATATTGAGTAATGATAACTAGGGTTCTACAACCAAAAAATAAATTTCATATTTAATATAGTTTAGGCCAAGGCCCTGGGCTCTGCATTCTGAGTGCCTGGGGCAGGAGTCTAGTTCCTTCACTTAGCTGTGTGACCTTGACCGGATTCCTTACTTTTCTGTTCCTCAGATTCCACTCTGTACAGAGGGAAAAATAATACTAATCATCGTGGTGGTGGTGGTGGTGGTTTAGTCTTTAACTCCGGCTCTTGCGATCCCAAGGACTATATCCCACCGGGTTCCTCTGTCCATGGAATTCTCCAGGCAAGAATGCTGGAGTGGGTTGCCATTTCCTTCTTCAGGGGATCTTCCCTAGCCAGGGATCAAACCCAGGGTCTCCTGCATTGCAGTTGGATTCTTTACCAGCTGAGCCCCCAGGGAAGCCCAATATATGTCAGATGCTTATCACTGTGCAGACTGGGCTCATGGCTTTCATGGCCTGGAGGGGAGGCGAGTATGGTCTCCCACACCCTTCCCTGAACCTGCCCCTCTTTCATGGAGGAACAAGGGAGGAGAGACACTTTCCTAAGTCAGTGCCCCCTGGGGAGCCTGCTGTGTTCCCCATGGTTGTTTGAAGCTCATGCCATGTTCTCTTTGCCCCATACTTTGGCAGTGCCCAGAATGTTTGCGTCTCCATCTCATTTCCACTCTGTGGCCCCAGTTCTAGGCCCTGTGGCTAAGGGAGTGGTCAGGACCTATCTCCTCTTCCTCCTGAGAACCAGGCACCTCACCTTGGTTTGCCTGGCTGTACCTACATGCCCTCCTTCCCAGGCTCTTATCCCATTGACCTGACATACCCTGGTACCAGTGCCAGGGCCAGATCTATAAGTCAGAGCCAGGCAGAAAGCCAACTGGGGAGCCACTCATCACTCAGTGGTAGACACCCCAGACTGACAAGCCATTCTGTGGAGCTTATTTTCTGGAAGAGAAAAAAATGAACCTCTCCTCAAAAATGCTTCAGTCCTTCCAAAGTCCTTCCTCTCTGTCCTCCTTTATACATAAGTGGCCCATTGGGACATGGCTGGCTGGCTTCAGCAGCTTCCAATTCTGTGAACTTCAAATGGGAGCTTCATAGAGCCTCAGCTGTGTTCCTTACAGCATCCTGTTTCAAACAAGGTAGGACTCCTCCCCACATCCTCATTTTCAATTGATGTATATCAAGCTCCATGGGGCTCATCAAGCTCTCGTCTGCCAATACAGGAGATACAGGTTTGATCCCTGGGTCAGAAAGATCCCCTGGAGAAAGAAATGGCAACCCACTCCAGTATTTTTGCCTGGGGATCCTGTGGACAGAGGAGCATGGTGGGCTACAGTCCATGGGGTTGCAAAAGAGTTGGACACGACTTAGTGACTAAATAACAACAAAATGTCAAGCCCTGCCTTCCTCAAAAGCAATGCTGATATGGAGCTTTTGCAACTGTGTATGATGCTTAAATTATTTTTCTTTTAGCCTGTCTTAGAGTTCTCCAGAGAAACAGAAGAAAGAGAAGGTGGAGTGAGACAGACAGAGAGAGCATGTGGGATAGAGAAATTTATTTTAAGGAATCAGCTCAAGGAGTTGTGAAAGTGAAAATCACTTAGTCATGTCTGACTCTTTGTGACCCCATGGGTTATACAGTCCATGGAATTCTCCAGGCCAGAATACTGGAGTACATAGCTGTTCCCTTCCAGGGGGTCTTCTCAACCCAGGGTTTGAACCCAGGTCTCTCACATTACAGGAGGATTCTTTACCAGCTGAGCCACCAGGGAAGCCCTCATGCAATTGTGGGGGCTGGCAAATCTGAGGTTCACAGCACAGGTCAGCAGGCTGGATGTTCTTGCAAGTTGATGTTGCAGGCTTGAGGCTGAGTAGTTGGAATTCCTTCCTCTTCTGGGGACCTCAGTCTTTTCTCTTAAAGCCTTCATTGATTACATGATTACCAAGTTATGGAGGGTAATCTGCTCTATGCAAAGTCCACTGATTTAAATGCAAGTGAAAGTTGCTTAGTCATGTCCAGCTCTTGCGACCCCACAGACTCTACAGTCCATGGAATTCTCCAGGCCACAATACTGGAGTGGGTAGCCTCTAAATCACTTCTGAATAGAAAAATACCTTCACAGCAAAATGTAGACTGGTGTTTGACCTAACAACTGGGCACCACATCCTAGTCAGTTCAGTTCAGTTCAGTCACTCAGTCTTGTCCAACTCTTTGCGACCCCATGGACTGCATCATGCCAGGCTTTCCTGTCCATCACCTACTCCTGGAGTTTACTCAAACTCATGTCCATTGAGTCAGTGACGCCATCCAACCATCTCCTCTATCGTCCCCTTCTCCTCCTGCCTTCAGTCTTTCCCAGCATCAGGGTCTTTTCCAATGAATAGGCTCTTCACATTAGATGGGCAAAGTTCTGGAGTTTCAGCTTCAGCATCAGTCCTTCCAATGAATATTCAGGACTGATTTCCTTTAGGATGGACTGATTGGATCTCCTTGCAGTTCAAGGGACTCTCAAGAGTCTTCTCCAACGCCACAGTTCAAAAGCATCATTTCTTCGGTGCTCAGCTCTCTTTATAGTCCAACTCTCACATCCATACATGCTGGAAAAACCATAGCTTTGACTATTGACATCCTAGTCAAGCTGACACAAACTTTTGTACCCCATCCATGGGTCCAAGCAAAACACCTAGATAATGCTGATAAACTCAACACAGCAGTTGGGTGGATTTAAATATCTGTTTATTTTCTTACAGATTTTTTAAGTTGGAGCAGCAAAGAATGCGACAAGCGCCAACACTTCCTATGCAAGTATCGACCCTAGAGCAAGAATCCAGATCCTGCCAACCCTGGCTCAAGGCCCTTTCTTCTTCCTTCTCTGCCATGCTGCCTATCTGATCATTGTCTCGAAGAGTAAACATAGCAACTAAGACTGATGAAGCCCTTATTCCACTGACATTTTAAGCTCGGAGGCAGGGATGTCAACATTGGTCTGACAGTGTCTTCTAGCTCTAAATATTCACCCCACAATCCCTTTCCATAGTACTCTCCTTTCATCCTCCCCACTTCCACTATCTTTAGCAGATGAGGGTGCCTCTCCCATTAATGAAAGAGCCAGGTCTTTGGTCATCAGGGATAAAGGTTTGATGATGAGAGAAGAAATTCAGGAAAAAGCCTCTTGCCCTCTTCACCTTCTGCATTCCTCCACCCTCTCTCTATTGCCCTCACCCACCTTCTCAGCCATCTGCTTATTTTTCCGTTTGTTGTGGGAACATTTACCAGGAAAGTCTCTGCTAGGCAGATATAGACTATAAAATTTCAGGGCCATTTTTAAATGAATGGTTGTGTGCAGAGAAGTTTGTTCTGTTCCAGTTCAGTAGCGATGAGAGTGAGAAGGTGAAATAAGACTCAGAAAACACACCCAAGTGTTTCTTCATTTCCTTCCTTCCAGTATTTGCTTTTTACCTCCTTAGCATAACTCCTCCCCAGCTGCAGCCATGATTAGATAGAGGAGAGATGGAGGTGTCACGCTTGGCCAACCTCTAAGCATGAGTGAGTGGGTGGGGGGTTGTTTCATTGTCAGCCCTGCGGCTTGTGAGGGGAGGTGATGGTCCAGGCAGGTGCAGGGGAGCTGACCTGGCCTTGGGTGCTCTTGTCTTTCCGGGTGCTGACAACTCATGTCTTGCTCAAATCTCGTCGCCTTGTGAGGTTTGGGGTGGTGGCTCCAATGCCGAGGAGGTCATTTTTTCCCTCCCTAGGTCAGGAATCTACTTGGCAATGTAAAAACAAAACAATACAGACTTGACAGTTACAGAAAAGGTGAATTTGGTGTGATCCCATGCCTGTTTCTTAGCAACAAACACGAACAGAGAGGAAAGGATATGTGGCTTGGCCATGCAGTCAGGCTGTGCGGTCACTTGCTTCATCCACACAGCACTGCCGACCAGTGAACACAAAATCTTACATCCCAACCTGAGGATGCTGTCTATCACCTAAACAGGCTAAGTCCAGCTGCCAAGCGTGGACTGAAAGAAGAGAGGGAAAATGAAACAGAGCATCAGCCCAACCCACCTCTCCCTGCTCTCCTTCCTTTCTTCACCCTTCCCTCCGTTGCAACCTTGTCACTATTTTGATTGTCAAAGAAAAACATCAGAAATGATGTATTGCTCCCCAGAAGCATTAAATAGCTTGTTCACACAAAGGATAAATCTTTTAATAGAGTTCAGACAAATGACAGGCAGATGGGAAAAGGTCATTCTTACAAAACATATAGTTAGCTTCAGCAAAAAGAAACCACCAACTCCCAAGAGGGTTCTGGGGCAAGTCACTGTCAGGAAATCAAATCAGAGTATCAGATTCCATGATGGAGATGGTAAATAAACAGAGATTACCAGACAGATAGGAGTCATGTAAGAACCTTATTAGATTAAGTACCAGAAGTGAAATAATTTAAATGAAAAGTGGATAACAATCCTCCCAAAAGGTAGAGGTTCTTAGTTCTTTTCTGACTGTGGCACACATGAGAGATAAAAGGCACCATGGTTCACCTGTGTGTGTTAGTTGCTCAGTTGTGTCAGACTTTTTGTGACCCTGTGGACTGTAGCCCACCAGGCTCTTCTGTCCATGCATTTCTCCAGGCAAGAATACTGGAGTGAGTTACCATTCCCTTCTCCTGGGGATCTTCCTGACCCAGAGATTGAACCCAGGTCTCCTGCATTGCAGGCAGATTCTTTACCGTCTGAGCCACCAGGGAAACCCATGGTTTACGTATCTCCTCTAATTCAGTTACACGCTCCAAAGAAAAATAACACAGCATGATAGCAAAGAAGAAGACATGAACAAAATAAAAATCCAAAGAGTAAAAACCAGCAGGTACAGCAATGAAAGCAAAGTAAAACCTAACAGTCATTCTATAAATATACAAAAAGTATTTAAAATGCATTTAGAAAGAATTCCAACAGAAAAGCATCACCAACTTAAGACATCTTGGTGAGATAACAATAACTAAGCCCCCTACCTGAAATTGGGCTTCCCTAGTAGCTTAGACAGTAAAGTTTCTGCCTGCAATGCAAGAGACCCAGGATCAATGCCCAGGTCGGGAAGATCTCCTGGAGAAGGAAATGGCAATCCACTCCAGTATTATTGCCTGGAGAATTCCATGGGCAGAGAAGCCTGGCGGGCTACAGTCCATTGAGTTGCGAAAAATCAGACACAACTGAATGACTAATATACACACACTTACTCCCTAAAATCACTGAAATGCCAACAATCTGCCTGTATAGGTGCACAGTGCAAGCTTCGTTGCCTTCCCACTATCTTATTAGAAGGCTGATATGGTCCTCAGTCAACTCTAGACTATGTGATTTTCTTATGCATGTAGAATTTTAATAATCCTTAATAATTCACTGAGTAGGTATATTATTCAACAAATTCTGATTTAATGCATGTTATGTGCTATGAACTCATATCAAGAACTGATTAATTCATCAGTGAGCAAAACAGATAAAGTTCTTTGCCATCTAGAGCATACCCTTCAGTAGGGATGAGGAACAGAGGTAGGAAAGTATTAGTCGAGGGCTTCCCTGGTAGTTGAGCTGGTAAAGAATCTGCCTGCAGTGCAGGAGACCTGGGTTCGATTCTTGGGTCAGGAAGATCCCCTGGAGAAGGGAAAGGCTACCCACTCCAGTGTTCTGGCCTGGAGAATTCTGCGGACTATAGTCCATGCGGTGGCAAAGAGTCGGACACTTTCAGCCTCTCCCAACAGGAAGCTTCCATCAGCCTCTTATCTTTATCTGTCAGACAGCAGACAGAATGAAAATCACAACCACAGAGAATGAATCAAACTGATCTCATGGACCACAGCCTTGTCTAACTCAATGAAACTATGAGCCATACCGTGTAGGGCCACCGAAGATGGACGGGTCATGGTGGAGATTTCTATCAAGATGTGGTCCACTGGAGAAGGGAATGGCAAACCACTTCAGTATTCTTGCCTTGAGAACCCCATGAACAGTATGAAAAGGCAAAAAAGATAGGACACTGAAAGATGAACTCCCCAGGTGGGTAGGTGCCCAATATGCTACTGGAGATCAGTGGAGAAATAACTCCAGGAAGAATGAAGAGACAGAGCCAAAACGAAAACAGTGCCCAGTTTTGGATGGACTGGTGATGGAAGTAAAGTCCGATGCTGTAAAGAACAATATTGCATAGGAACCTGGAATGTTAGGTCCGTGAATCAAGGCAAATTAGAAGTGAAATTACATGGAAAGAGTGAACATTTACACTAAATAACATTTTACTCATATAAACGTAACTTTGGAAGGCCAAGCATCTCTCCTGATTTGACAACTCTTCCCATGCAACTCATTTAATAATGTATTAAATAAACCTAATTATTTCTAACAGCTGTCTTTCTATAAGATGAAAAAACAAATCTGTGTGACTTACCAGGAGCTTTTTGGGAAAACTGGGAAATCCTGAAGGTAATTTTAGATGTAAAAGATATGTCAAAGTACTATTTTTAAATTTTATTTTGAATGTAAAATTTGATTTTAGGAAGGCAGAAATCAAGTTGGCAGGAGATTCAACACTTACAATAGGAAAAGGATCATGGTGACTCTGAAGCAATATTCAATAAAGTAATAAAACATTGAGAGAGAGAGAAGGTAACATGATTATAAAGAACTTTAGTTCTTTCTTAAATGACAAACCTTTATTTTCTTAAATAATCAAAGACATAATAAACTCAACACAAACCATAGAAGGTTATTCTGGTAGACATACATAGAATCTTTGTGGTTCTAGGCAGGTTACAGCAGAAAAAAAACAATAACCCTTTATATTTGTAGCTTGAAGCAATAAACAATAAATTAGGAAACTAGCACATTGAAATTAAGCCCACTTTATAAGATTTTAAATACTTCATAATTTTCAAAGTCAAGAATTATAAACCATGCCAAATAAAATTGATTTAAAAATTTTGTTCTTCATTGGAGTCTTTTATATTCTGAAACAAACTGATGTTTTACTTTATGACCATCTCAGAGGGGTTCATGAGGTTAAAACTAAGTTTATAATATTGCTGAAATATTATTAACATGCCATGCATTCATTGTCACTATCTTCAAATGGATCAGTAAGTAAGCATGGTAAAATTTCTGTTTCTGTTTCAATTTTCAATAAAGCTGACTCAGTGGAAAAGATCCTGATCATAGAAAAGACTGAAGGCAAAAAGAGAAGGAAGCAGCAGAGGATGAGATGGTTAGATCGAATTTCAAGTTCACTGACTCAGTGGACATGAAGTCGAGCAAATTCCAGGGGACAGTGGAGGACAGAAAAGCCTGGAGTGCTGCAGTCCATGAGGTTGCAAAGATTCGGGCACGACTTAGCGACTGAACAGCAATAAGAACAAAACATTAATAGTTGCAACCCACAGACAAAGCTCCCTGCTATCCTCAATAAGCATGAAGAGTACAAATGTGTTCAGAGACCAACAAAAAAGTACTTTAGGACAAGACTAATCTGTTCCTTAACAAACAAATATGTTCAGAGTTGTATTTCTCTGAAATTATTGTTCCCAAATAGAGTCTCATTCACATATATCAATCATAACTTTAAACCAAAGTAATTTCGATTTCACAGAAAAAAAAAAAACTTGGGGGAGACAACTGGGTTTACACAGCAGCGTCTTTGCAAGTCTTGAAGAGCTCAAATAGAACACAACTTCTATAGCCATACTTTATACAACTTCTCAAAATGGCAAAAATGAACATGTTCCTTAAAGACCCAAAGATATATAAGTCTCTCTGTAGCATATGAGAAGAAGCAAAAACAGAAAGTTAAAATTATGCTTAGTCATTAATGTTTCAGTGTTCTATCTTACTTAGAAATTATGCAGGTATCCAATGAATATTCATTAATTCAACTTAATGCTGGTCTCACATTTTAACTTACCCAAGTATTTTGAAAGTTATCTTCAAGTTGATTTACTACAAAACATAATTGTTGTTAAAATAAAATTTTATCAGAATAATAAATCAATTTGATAAAACACATTTTTCATTTTTTTACATATTGATAACTTTAAATAGAAGTAATAATAGCTTATTTGATCAGTAAATCTGCGTTAAGTTATAGCTACTTACAGAATAAAAATCTACATTTATATTCATTTCTGATAAGTCAGTGAATACTTAGTTGTTTTTATTAACTAAAATTATTAAACTAGCCTCATTTGCCAAATGTTTACCTAATGGACATGAATTTGAGCAAATTCTGGGAGATAGTGGAGGACATAGGAGTCTGGCATACTACAGACCATGAAGTTGCAAAGTGTCAGACACAACTTAGTGACTGAACAACAACGAATTCTTAAAACATGTCTGAGTTAGTTTCTATAAGAATGTTTTTAAAATCTAATACATTGAAAATATTAGAAGTTCAATTTCCTTCCCTTCTGGGCATTTTAGAAATATTCAGTTTATATATAAGTGCTTATTTACTTATCTCATTAGCTAATCAGAATAGAGAGCCTTTAACTTAAGATAATTTATAACCCAGTAAGTTAACAGCAGCAGCGAATAGGGAAGTATTACATCCTCTCACAGCAAGAAAAGACCTTTCTGAATTAGATACATAGACATCCAGACTGAGGAAAGGGGAGTTTATAACTTCAATTTTAAAATTTCAGCTATGAGTCAGAATAAACTCATAATTATAAAACTCACTGGTCCATTTCAAAAAGCATCCTCTTATGAGTAGGTACAAATTCTTAATTAGTTCAAACTCCAAAGAGACAAATAGACCGGCAGAAAAGACA